GTGATAAGTGAGGTAATGGTAGTGGTTCTAGGCGACATCTCCTAGTGGGCCAACTAGTGCGACTAGGGGGTTAATCCCTGCCAAACAAAACTGCAATTATTGTAAAAAAGGTTTGCGTCTTTTATTTGGATTTGCGAAAACTACTTGGCATCTCTCCTCGTTAGTAAAATACCTGGTATTAATTTTTTACTACAAATAGAATTGAAAAAATTGTATAGCGTAGGTTAAATGGCGATAAACTTTACGCACAAGTGGTAGCCATTTTCGTATCATTAATCGCGTGTGACTTTGCTAAAAGCCCGCCAGCGTGGTTGATAAAGTTAAGTATGTTGTGGAGACTTATACCAGACAGATATTGTATCGATGTCAACTCAAAGGCTCCTAATATGGTATTCCTGCCACCCATTAAAGGTGGATTTTTGCAAAGAAGTTGCTCTACTGTCTCTTGTCCATTTTCATTCCAGCAACTTCTACAGGATCCGTTGTAGGCGATGCTCAGCTTTCTGGCGTGGGTGCAAAGGAAGAACGTCAGTTTGGAGATGTATTAAAAAGTTGCATATTTTATTAGGATTGTACACCGGCCACATGAATTTAGATATACGGCAGTGTACTGCCGTGACATTGGAGAACGATTTCTCTGTATATACATAGTTCCGATAGGTAATGGGATCCAATGCTTGATCCCTCCCTGGCTAACTCATCTGCAGCTTCTTTGCGATAACCAGGAGCTCAAATTTGCAGGGCAATTCTGGCATATGTCTTTCTGAGAACGTTACTCATACGCCATGTATGTACGTACCTTGAATTTAACTCTTCCGTGATAAATTGTAGACCCAATGGGCGGTATGATTAAAAACTATGCAATCGATTTTTCTTAAAATTTCAGGCCTTTTACTCGATTTATTAACAAAAAAATTTAAATGTCTAAAATTTTAAGAAAAATTAATTGCTTAATTTTTATTCTTACAGCCCAATATGGATCCGCTATTTTGAATATTTCAAATCCGATTTCAGATTCGTAGTCAGCGATCTTAAGATCCCCCGATTGTAAAGTTTTAGGCGAATCTAATCGATTTTAATTTTTTTTTTGGCCGCCATATTGGATCAGCCATTTAGAATTTTTCCAATCTGACTTCAGATTTAGCAACTCGAAAAACAAATAAATGCAGTGATTTATTTTTAGTTGTTTGTGTTTCCGATAGGGTAGGGTCATTTGTTATGGTTTTTGTCGCTTATCTGGATTTGATTAAGCGATTCATATGATAATTTTCTGGGAACTTTTTACAAGCGCCACATAACTTTCGATTCCACATTAAAAAAAAAAATTCTTTACAACTCCTAAAAATAATTATAAGTCTCCGCCATTTTTGGGCAGAGTCGCCTGCGTATAGGCGTGGAATAACTCAGACATATTTTCCTTTTTACAACAATAAAAAGTAATGAATAAACAAATGTAAATAAAGAAATAAATGAAAATAAAGCAAAAATAAATAAAACATATTAATAAAAATTAAATTAAGTACAAGTTTTCTTTTCCTTTAAAAAAATCTTAAAATTAAAAGAAAAGTAAATTAGAAAAAAATGTAATCAATAAAGAAGAAAATAGTACTTTAAATTAAGTGAAATTAAAAAAAAAAATTATTTTTAAAACAAAATCTGAAGATTAAATAAAGATGAAAAACTAAAATTAATTAATATACCATACGATCCTAAAAATTAGATGAAATAAAACAAATAATTTTAAGCAAAAAACAAAACCGACTTCAGTTCTCATATAAAAATTTAAAATTGCCGTTAAACTAAATCAGTGGGTCCCATACTACCTCTGAGATACCAACTTTTCTTTGAAAAATTATAGAAATCGGTTTCCGTGGTCCAAAGCTATGCGGTAACATACATACAAAATAAAAATGTATTACCCTTTAAAATAAATATATATGTATTAGAGTGGTTAAAAAAATTTTTTTTTTGGAAATTCATTAATGCTACCTCAAATTATTTTTATTTGTGATAAAAAAGAGAAACGTGTTTTTTTACTTTGAAAAAAGTTTTCTTATAGGTCGCGCTGGTCGGTTTTTTATAAAAACGCTGATGTTCTCAACTTGTTAAACTTGTGTTGTTTCTCGACATGTTAAAATGCAGCTAAAAATTTGTTTTTTACATATAATTACTCTGGTATTATTGGGGAACATTCCCTTAATTACATACCTGTCTTGGGCAGTTAGAATGGGCCTAGTGGCCGAAAATATGCTCTCGAAAAGAGACTAGTAAAACTAAAACGTTGATACTGAACGATTTACGCATTGTCATGGGTTGGAACTTGTTACCAGGGGGTTTCTGGGGTTGCTAATTAGGAATCTGAAGTCAGTTTTTCGAAATTCCAAATGGCGGTCCATTTTTTTTTCAAAGGATTTTATTTATTCGAAACCCGGCACGCGAGAGTGTTTGGGATCGCCGATTACGAATCTTAAGTAAATTTTTTTTAATTCAAAATGGCGGATCCAATATGGCGATCAAATAAAAAAAAATTACTAAAATTAAAACGTTGATGTTGAAATTAATTGGTTTTAAGTAATTGTATGAAATAAAATAAAATATTGATTTTCCCATATTTTAAGAAAGTTGAGTTTAATTAAAATAAATTACACTTAGTGTAGCACGTAGAAATTTCATACACTCAGTGAAGCGGGTGAGAGCGATCTAGTCTTAAATAGATGAATTGTATGCTTTCAGAATACATTTTTCTAATTGAAATTTATTGGGTAGGTTGTACACGATTTTGGTCGGATTTGGGAACAAAATTGGTAGGGAAAAAAATTGTTAGTAGCAACGCTGTTCCCTTATCTTAACTCAAATCCCTTTCGCACACCCACCTACTTCTTTATTACCCGGAATGCCTTTGTGTTTACCTGTTACCCAAGGTCGTTTATATACTGAAATTTAGTCAATATTTCGAAAAAAAATTGAAATATGTCAACCTTTTCTTTTTCAAAATTTTGTTACAAAAGATAAAGAGTTATCTTATTTCCACTAATATCTTATCGGATATATCCTTAGAAGCTGCTTTGAAAATTACACTTTGACTTCAGTTGGTATTAAATATTTGGCCGACCATTGCTCGAAGTGCATATAATTTTTTCAGTTTTCAAGGTTTGGGTATCAAATAACGGTCATTAATCTAACCCAGTGATTCCCATAGTGGGCCAGGTGGACCCCCAGGGGTCCACGGAAGACTCGACGGGGGTCCACGGTGATGTGAAAAAATATGGGGTGCATGGGTTGTAAATAGGGGTCCACGAAGTTTTATCTGGTTTCGTTGTAAAGAACCAAAATGTTTGCTTGATAGCCTCTTTATTTAATTTAAATTTTTTTAGTGGTGTATTGTGCTCTTGAGGCACTGCTGCACTTACCCTCAGTTAGTGTTTTTCCTGTAGACTAAAAAGAACCGATGCTGGTATGACAATGAGTGGGGCGCGACGAAAATTGCTGGCGGAAGAGATTTAAGCACTTGTGACTTTTCAATGGTACAGGATAGTACGCCACCATTACCTTTGTTGAAGAGATTATATAATGTTGAGTTCCCTGAGACTGAATGCTGGTTTGATTCCATCGCTGAGACCGGACTCACACATTGTCGATTCTTCACTGATGACTTAAAAACTGACTCTGGGTCATGATCTGGGGTCTTTTTCGAGTTTAATGGAGATAAGCTTCTGTAGGGGAATATGCTTCGGTCTTCCAGGCTGATGTAATTGCAATACTCAAAGTGTAGGGGAAGGAGTTTACGTGACTGCAGTGACAACCAAGCTGCACTTAAGGCATTGACCAGCCCTCTATTTAAGTACTTCCGAACTAGTTCGGCAATGCAAGTCTCGACCAAAAATATGACGGTGAACATAACGAAGTTGTCTTACTCTGGGTGCCAGGTCACTCTGGAGTACCTGGTTATGAGACATCTGATCATTTGGCCAGAGTTGGCTCAGACCAGGCATTCCTCGGTCCGCAACCAGTGTTAGCACTCCCACCTTCGGCAATCGAAGCCACCATCAGAAACTGTGTGAATAATTCGCTCAGAAATGACTGACAGGCATCGAGGGGATGCAGGTGGGCAAAACTCATGTTGCCTTCAATCTCACAAGGTTTATCTAATTTTTTGCTCTCACTGATGTTTTAAGTTTTGTGTGTTTAAAAATGTGACAATTATTTCTCGCCTCACTTTAAAACTCGGAGCGATAAAAATAAAAACGATGGCATTAACACAAATAAACTATTTTACATATAATCCACATGCCAAGTCATGAGAGAGGCGAACATTTGATGAGTTTATGATGAAGAAAATGTAAATAACGCTAGCGCGCGCAGAGCTCGTAAAAAATATAACTCTTCCGAGCGAGAGAGTATTTTGATGTATTTACGAGCTTTATTTTTTTAGATCTACAAGTGTGCAATCACATTATTTTTATAAATAGAACACAAGAAAATATTTTACTTTTATTTTGGTCACTCTGGGTTTAGTTTTTGAATTCACCCACAATGCAAATTTACATTGTTAGATCTAATTTTCACATTTAATTTGTTTACGGGTTTTGGAAATATTTAAAACTGTATCAGCAGGGGCGTCCACCGAGACCAGTAAATTTTTGAAAGGGGTTTACGAGGAAAAAAAAGTTTGGGAACCTCTGATCTAACCCAATATTTCATTCGATAAAAATTATGTGGATACAAATATGTCGAGCCCTAACCGCCAAAAAAGTGTGAGCGAAAACAAAAAATATTTTTTTTCCGGTAGGCGTTTTCTTTTATTAACACGGCAATTACTGTAGATACAAACGTGAAGGTCAATGAACCAGTTACGTTTGATGTTAGGTATATAATACTGGCGGTGATCCTACCCATCCATAGATATATGTATATCCATATGTACATGTATACAATAATTGCTCGTTTAAAGTAATAAGATTTAAAATGACACAGCCCATTTCGACCTCTTCTCTTTCCAGCACCCGTTGTTGGTAATTTCACAGACGAAGATTTCGCTGGTGGTGGTGGTGCCATTGGTGTAGGCGCAACGCCACAAGATAATGCAGAATATCCATTGCAGCGTGATGAAGTGGAGCGCGTCATTAATGGAAAATTTGGTGAACGCAGTCAGCAGCAAACGCCATTGGGTAAGTGATTTTTTTTTTTTCGTAATAAAATATTAAACTTACGTCCATTATTACACACATACATATATGCCAGCTCTTGCTCCTATATGCCAGTAGGATTTGATATACATAGCTGTCAGAAATTGCAACTTCATACAGCTTAACATTGTACTCGGATTATTGTTAAGTGAGAACTCCAAATGAATCTCACTGCCGCATTTAGACGTCTTGATGAGAGTTTCAATTACACAAAAATGCACTCCTAATACTTCTGACACTTTCATGAAATTTTGTCTACTTTTTGGCATGCCAAGCGCGCTCAAGCACCTAACGACTGTCATATTCATTCAAAGCTTCGGCTTTTATTAAAATGATGTTCAATTCACACAGCTTCTCCACCGCTTTCCTTACTCAACCATTTTCCTTCTCCCCATTTAATAACCGTAATACTCTTTTGTATGAAATCGCAATTTCACTACATATTTGCAAACCGCAACTGTATGCTGGAAAAAGTGCCGTTGCATATTGCGTTGCACAACTACGGACACAACAATGAATCGCAGACATTTTTTATATTTTTGTCCGTTAAGTGTAACTGCGGAGCAAGATTTTCATGTATGCAGCAATGCACACAAAACTCTTTCTTTCTTTGAGTCAAAACGAAATAACGCTAGTGTATGCAACATAATTTTTTTTTTTTAAATTTGTGAATAAAAATATTTCAAGGCATATTTGCTTTCAACGATTTTACAGTAATTCTATAAAAAAATGCATTTTCTTCAAAGATCTTGCGGCACAAGTATATGTATGTTAAACAATTTTAAAATTAAAAAACGGGGTCCTTATTTTCGACTTTCTTCACTACTGGGGGTGACTACAAAAAAAAAATGTGAACCACCCAAATATATTAACATACATACATACATATACATTAGTAATGGATTTTGTTCAATATCGTTCAGAAAAAAGTTCTAATTCATGCGCTGGTAGCTTCTATTGCAAATTTTCGGTCATCCGTTAGACGTAGTTGTCTGAATAAAGCCCGTCAAGCACTGCCAGCGTGAAGTGTTCGCTCGAAGTTTTTGAAACCAAGTATGCAGTCTTCCGTGGAAGGACGCTCGAAAATGTACGCCTCTTTGGTTTATTCGAGAGAATTTCTAAAAATCTCTGCCCCTTCAATCCAAGTTTAATCGGCTTTGAGGTGAAGCGCTTGCTGTTGTCAGCACTATTCGCTGTTTTGCGCTTTTGGCTAGCAGTCTTACAGGGCCCTGATGGATGTAGCATCGTGTCGAAGGGCTCTAGAGCAGCATGGCTGTTAAGCGAATTCGCTTAATAGTACTTCTTCTTAATTTGCCTCGCTACTTTGTGAAGTTCCTGCAGTTGTTCATACCAACTGCGAAAATGTTATGGAAAATGGATACTTCTTCCATTTTTTGCTAGAAATTATTTTTACGTGGCGGGTCTAAAGCCCAGTGCACAACTCATTTAATTTGTCATAAGCAGTTTATTCTTCCCATTATCTGCATTCAAAGAGTTACATACCTTAAAGGAATTTCTCTATGCCCACCGCATGAGTGGAGGGTAGAAGATGAATATTGGGATCTTCTTGGCTACATTCTTTGTTGCCGTAATTTCTCCTTCAACCAGCGCCCTGTGCTCTAGATAGTTCAGTAGATTTGCATCTCGAGGCTCCAAAAGCACATTGTACACTAAGAACCATTCCAAAGCCAATTTTCTACAATGCCAAGAGACAAGGTCAGAAGAAGTTTTTTTTTTGTTCTCTTAGCTTCAAAAGAATTGGTCCCTTAGCCACAGCTGCTTATTACTTTTCAAACCATGAATTTGCGAGGAAATTTTAACCCTAGACTGCACTCCACTTACTTCTTCGTCGAATCGAGGACGAGAATTTTCATTTTCAATTTTTATAGGTAATATAGTTTTGAGCAAATGTTGAAGTATGTAAACGGTTTTCAAAAAATGCGTCGTCGTTTAGACGAAGAAGGACTTCTGTGTTACCTAAGTTCCAAATTATCTTTTTTTAGATTTCGTCAGTTGACAGTCAACCTAATACATTTTTCCAATGATCTGCACATTTTTTCAATCATATAATTTTATTATGCTATTTTAGGGTTTTATTACACTTACGGAAAAGAGTGGTTAAAACATACCTCACATCCATGATGCAGTAATCAAAGTTTTCAAAGAAATTCGTTTTCAATCTTGGCATGTAGTTTTGCCTGTATGTTCTTCAAAGCATTACTATCTGGAACTTTCTGCGCTATGAATGTCTTCACATTAGCTTTCTTCTCTGATTTTCGTACAAAAAACTCGGAACAATCCACCTTCTGCGCCAGTTTTCTGGCCGAAACGTTGAGGTTCCCCTACAAAATAGTGATGATTTTAACTTAATTTTGTTGGTCGCTGATGTCGTTCTCTCTGCAGAAACCTGGCTTCCTGGAAACAACTCTCTCGATACAGTTTTTGGGCTGACTTTAAGTGTCCGTGGAATTTTTTTGAATTGCACAAACGATTTTCATACTTAGAATTCGCTTGGCATTTTTAAAAACGTCTAGCAAAAATATTTCACATTTGTCTCAAGGCTTATTATAAAATAGGATGTTCAGGTTTAGTATTTTGAAAAAAATATCAAATCTAATTATCAAATCTAAGTACGTGGTTGCTCAATGCGATGATAAGCGACCTACTAAAATGCAAGCACTCCAGTACCAATTGGCAGTGTGGAGTGCACACACTAACCACCTTGGTAGAGCCGAAGCCTGTCTAAAGCATTTGCTGTTCTTGTGTCCGACACCCGCTTGAAATGCTACTCCACATGGAACCATTACTGGTTCTACCGTATTTGGGTGTTAAACCACAGCCTCCACGAAAATCCCCGAAGGCCGGTTCCCTAGAACAGGCCAATTAAGTCTCTGGTCAGACATCGAAGCCCAAACCTCTGCCATTTGAGCCTCCGTTCCACTCGAGGACTAGCAGCCTTGGAATGGGTACCCCGGGGGTACCACTTACTCGGAATCCCCTGCGAGGGATCACTTACTCAGTGGAGACCTATTTTTTTTAACAAAAAAATGTACCGCGGTAAAACCAAAGCAAATCCTTCCGAGCTCCGTTGATATGACGGTTGTCCGGAGGCTCCCTTAGAAAACGGTCGAAAAGCACTTGCCAGCAAATCAAGCAATGGGCAGGGACCCACGTAATAGCAAGCTCAAGCGAGAAGTTAAACCCACCTCAGTATTACACTATTGGTTTTATCAAAGAATTACAATGCGCCTGCAGGACTTACACGAATAGGCTGTTCGTCGACTGCTCTGGGGTTTATAAGTTTTAAGAAAATATGCCAGTATTTTGATAAGGACCCAGGTTACGATACCTTTTTTCGTTTTCGAAACAAACCTTTAGCTGGACAACCTACAAAAATGTAGTGTAGCCTTGCTATTTAGGTACTGTCTTCAATCATCAAATAAACAGCTGAATTTTCCATTTCCCTATCTTCCAACACAGTTATTTCACCCAAACCAATTGATCATCCGGAACCGGAAAGCAGCTTAATTGGCTACATATTTGCCGTATTAGTGGCCATAATTTTGGTGCTAGTCATTGTCATACTCTTAATTGTCATACGTAATAAGCGCGGACGTGGCGGTAATGTGCTCGATGCATTTCAGCACAATTTCAATCCGGATACACTTGGCGGTGCTGATAAACGCCTCAACTGCAATGGCATGAAGGTGAGTGGGTTGTTCATTTTTGTGCTTTAATTCTGATGATGACTACAGTGTTTTAATTCTTTTTTTCCACAATTTCCACATAATGTCTCAATCATTTTGTCCATCTCTGTTTTTCGTTTGCAGGCCGTCACCATGGACAATGACACGGAGTCCATTGACAAGAGTAGCCTGTATCATGAGCCATTTAATGTGAACATGTACACAAGTGCAGCGAGCGGCTGCTCCATGAATGACATGCAACGACAACATGTCACACCGGACTACACAGGTATGCAAATTACTTATTATGTACATATGTACGTGTATTTTTTTTTTTTTTTTTTTGTACTACGGATTTATATGAAAGTGCCTGTGTATGTAAATTTTCGTTGTTCAAATTATGAACAACATGTTTTTCTCGCACGCAAATGGGACGGGTTGTGTCAACAAATAATACTTAATAGCAAGTAAATCGCATCGCTTACATACTACGCACTTGTATAAGTACACATATGTACGTATAAATTGATTTAGTAGGCCAAAACCTTCTCAATTTGAAAATTAGGTGAATACTTCTGTATATCCTGCTGGTCCGGTAGCAGCCAATTAAACACCTTTTACAGATTTTTCACCGAATGCAACCACGGTTTCATTCGGGCTTTATTTATTCAAACCGGCTTTAAGAAGCATTTTCATCGCTACTCCTGCATTTAAACATTTCATAATTTCAGTCGAATAGGCAGGCACTTAAAATCTATGATCCCTCTTTTGCCGAAAGTTAAGTACGTATCTCGCTCTTATCCTGGATTCTAAATTTATGCGGAAGTTTCAGGTTGATGGGACCACATCCTAAACTACGAGGGAACTGACATATATCTCCGAGCTAGCCGCCAATCTATCCTATATGGAAGGCCGTGCAAAAGACTATCTTAACCCTTTGACGACCGTTACTGTTCCGTTGGGAAATTCAAAGATATGACACCTGATTCGAGTTCTGCGAACCCATTTTATTAAACAGCTGCTAACCCTGTCACCCCACTCCCGGAAAAACCAATAAAAGGCTATGAAAGGCTATGAAAAACCTTTACGTGATGGAGTTAAATGGACGTCGGATTTGATACAGTGACCAAAAAAACATATAAAAATAATGGTCTGGTAACAGGAAGAATATATTTATTTTTTTTTTTGTGGAGCTGTGTTATCTACTAATCAAGACCTATTCGAAAAAATCGGATCCATAGTTTTTCCAGGAAATTTTTATATGAAAATTGACATCGGTGTCCCTTTGGTCGTCAAAGGTCATCGTCGATGAACTATTCTAACTTTGTACTAACTCAGGGCTGTCAGACACACTAACATATCTCAGCTTTGTCGGACAATATAACCTTTTTTTTTTTTTGATAGTTTGTTATGCCGTTAAGCTATGGACTTAAGACAAAAAAAAATAGGTGCGTCTGAGTAAGGATAGTTTATATGACACAGCTGAGATAGGATATTCTGTTCAGGTAGTCTTTCGCATGACCTTAAAATTAGGAGAGATTGATGGCTATCGACCACTTGCGATGAAGTTACCTTGGTCCACCCGGATGGTGTAGAGGCGTCTGTATAGCAAGTTTTGGGGGTACAGCCCAAAGATCCTGATATGAATGCACACTATGATAGCACGGCATGTAAGTAATTAAATATGGGGTCGAAAACTTCAGCTTTTAGATCTAATTTAGTCAAAGTAAGACAGTTGTTAACAAAATTTCAAACGTTCAGCCTGTGTGTGCATCACGGGGGCGGTTTTCACTTGCCTGGCTGCAGCACCTGAGGATATTCTCGACTTTGCGCTCCGTTCAATTTCGCCAAAGAGGGTATTGGCAGAAAAAAATTGTATCGTCCAGGAACCTAGAAAAGCTAGGTTTAAAGCTAGAGGAGACCTTTTTTACAGAGATAAAATTAACAGGGCAAAATTATCTCCCCTGCTGTTTAACCTCGTGCTTAACGAATTTTTGCTCCGCACATCGAGAGTCCCTGAGGTTGTTGCCTATGCAGATGACTTAGCCATTTTGGTCGTGGGGAAATTCCTCTCCATGGTCCGCGAGATTCAGCGATCTGCAATTAACGATCTGGCGGGGTGAGCAGAAAGAAACGGTCTAGGGGTTAACCCATCCAAAACCGAACTTGTTTGAGAGACGACTCCAAAATGGATGTCGGATCAAGATCTGAAGTCCTCTTTCGGGAGTTATCTCTGAGAGAGTCTAATAGACTCCCGGATCACTGCATTGTTTTTCAGGCTCAGATAAATGCAATCGACATGGCGGCAAAGCTGGCGAGAATAATCGACCTAGCTCCATCTAAACTTGCCTTCATCGTTGACAGTTAGGCAGCTACCAAAGGTATAGGGTCGGAAGGGACTAACTCGATATGTGTTAGGGAATGCCGAAGATCCCTGCAAACTCTACAGCAACACATAATCACCCTTTACTGGGTCCCGAGGCACAATGGTGTACCAGGAAATAAGGAAGCGGACGAATGTGTTAGAAAGGGATCTCAAATTTGGCTTGGGGAGGCGATCCAGATCGTGAAACCTCCTCTGCGATTTCTGTTTTCGGAAATCGAGATAGTGACCAAGGCAGTCACCCACAGCAGGTGGGAAAATCTGCACCCCTATATATATATATGGTATCACGCCCGCTCTGGTCACGGCTCGATAAACGAAGAACAACGAGCTTATTAAAGCTGTCAAAGCCAAACGATAAGCTTTTTACGGGAATACTAACGGACAATGGACCATTGCTCATATGGCCGCCAGGTTCGGAGCGCCACATAACGATTTCTGTAGAAGCTGTAGAGATGAGGAGGATGTAGAATCCGTCCAGCACTTCTTCTGTGAGTGTCAAAAATGGACGATTAGTGTTTCAATGTTTTTACAATGTTTTTCAGCATAAATATTTTTTGCTATTTTTTTTATAAAAATATGGTCTATGCTTTAACAAAAACCATATAAATCACTCTTTATACAGAACTTAGAAAAATTCCACAAATTTGTATCTAAATTTCGAGCTTTTAACCAGAATTTTTTAAAAAATTTTGGGTATGCCTTATACAATCTTAGTAAAATAAATGCAAGTTTTGACCGGCTAGAAAATCGCATTGACCTTAAACATTTTTTTTTTGTTTGTTTACGGTGCTTTTCACTTTTTAACCGACTTCCAAAAAAGGAGGAGGTTATCAGTTCGTCGG